CTCTCGAGATGTGCTATAAGAATATGCAATGAAAAATGGGGTGTTCCATTTAAAAAAATTAATGTGACCTTGACCTGACCTTCGCTACGCAACCCAAGGTCAAACTGATGTGATCAGTAAATACATCTTTTTAAACGCCACAACTTTTGTCCAAAACATTTTTTTGTAAAACTTATATTTTTCCTGATATTCGGGCGTCCCGGTACTTTCCAAACACCCTGTATATATAAAACTGCACATACATATGTACATATACATGCATATACAAAGGGTGCGTTCACGGAGCTCGCTATCGCGCTACCAACGCAAACGCTACCAAAGAGTGTTCGTGGAGCCAATAGCGCGATAGTGATAGTAAGCTCCATGAACAGAAGTAGCGTTGCACTACAGTTATTTAGCAACCGAAATTAAAGAGAAAGAGGCATATACCTAGCGTAGAGGTACTGTAATTCTAGCAAATTAAACGGAATGGCGCAAGAAGAAGGAAGTAGAAAAAAAAATAAATTGAAAGCTGTGGTACGTATAATGCGTGAATTAATAGAAACTTCATCTTCCTCTGAAAGTGATGAAGAAATGGAAATTATAGACAACTATGCGAAAAAACGAAAAAAGTGTCTAAAAGAGAAAATTATGTGGAGTTAACGACCAGCATTAACTGATCAGCAATTTAAGGCTCATTTCAGGTATTAAATATAAACAACGATGTACATAATTTAGTTATTTCTAGTGGTAATCTTAATAAAAATCATAATGCTTATTATATTAAAAATATATAAGTTGTTTTGAGTAAAGCATATACATACACAACACATCATAATAAATGATTTTATGTTTTAGGATATCCTGTACAATTTTTGATTATATTTTATCTATCATTGAGCTAAAATTATAATAAAGGCAATAGGAACACCAATGGTTTGTCCACGCAAGCAATTTTTGTTGGCGCTGTGGAGACTAATCACTCCAGATTCATTCAGTTATATTACATCAATATAACTGCGTTCACTAGAAAAAGTAGCTTCGTAAAGACCAGTTTCACAACCTCTTATTAACTTAATCGACAAGTAAACTGTATAACTATGATTGGTTATTTCTGGTCAATTCTGTTTAACGACAAATATATATATATATATATATATATATATATATATATATATATATATATGTCAATTTTAATCGAATAATCAGCTGATTAAATTAATCGAAGATTGTGTAATAGATTCTAAGTGCTTTATGCTATATTGCCAACAACTTTAAAATAGTCCAATTTTCTAATATTGTAATATGTGTAAAGCAGAGAGAGAGAGAGAGAGAGAGAGAGAGAGAGAGAGAGAGAGAGAGAGAAAGAGCATACAGGTATTGTACAATCTTGAATAAAGAAATTTCTAATATTTTCATTTCTGAATTTTTAGATCCATTAACGAGAGGTTTAATGTTGGCAGAAGTACATCACTGTATATAACAAAACGCGTTATAAAAGCATTAATTACACAAGTACCTCTTATCATAAAATGGCCTACAGGCGAACGAGTTGGCCAAACATGGCGTGGATTCGAAGCCATCAGTGGTTTTCCGAAAACCATTGGTGCCATTGATGGTACGCACATTAATATTCCATCACCTAAGCATAATCCTGAAGCTTATATTAATCAAAAGGGTCACCATTCTATTCAGCTGCAGGTAATGCGCTAATTTGCATAAATTGTCTATATACGTTAAATAATATATCTTAGCTGATTAGGCAGTAATAAATATTATATTACTTGGTACTTGCTTTTTTATCAAATGATTATTGTAAAATGTCTGATTGCTTCAAATACTTTTCAAGAAATTTGATTTTATTTATATTTATTCTCATGTTTATTTTTTCAGGCTGTATGTGATCATAATGCTTATTTTATTCATTGTTACGTTGGGGGGGTATGTAAGATCTGTGCACGATCAACGAATATTTCGTTTATCGGAGGTCCAATCATATTTGAGAGATATAACAAAGTTCCCAGATGATTGCAACTTACTTGGAGACTGTGCCTACAAACTTCATGACAATTTATTAGTACCATACAGAGACAACGGACGCTTAACAGAACGTGAATACAATTATAATTTCTGCCACGCATCAACGAGTCATTGAAAGAGCATTTGGGTTGCTAAAAGGAAGATTCCGAAGTCTTTTAACTACATTACCAAGGAACCAAGTAGACTTCATTCCAAAGCACATTCTCGCTTGTTACGTGTTACATAATATATGAGAGGCGATGAACTTACTATGGAAATCAACAACGAAGAAATGATCCATCAAGATGAAAATATTGAACATTATTGTGACGTTGGTAATTCTGGTATAGCGAAAAGAGATTTAATATGTGAAAGACTTCGAATGAGAAATGTGCAATAAAAACAGTTATAGCGCCTACTCAGGATCCTTAATTATGTACTATCACATTGTACAAGTAAAAAATAACTTTATTGAAATGTTTTTTACTTTCGTACATATATGTAACGCATTGTATTTCTATAATATATAATAATAATAATAAAGAAGTAAATAAGAAATAATTTTTATGTTTATATTTTTTCTAAGATTTTATCCAGCTTCTCCATTAATTTTAATTTCAATTCCATTTTTTCTTTATGTCTCTTATCTTTTCTGTCTTCTGCTATTGCATGACTTTCTACAATTGCACTTGCAAGATCAGTTTTTTTACGTTTACCTAGAAATATATATATTCATAAAACTATACTGTCCAAGGGACTTATGTTCATCATTAGAATTCGGTTAAAGTTGTTATTCGAATTTCAGCATTGTAAATATAAGTTACTACTTCAATTAATAGCAAATAGTATAAAAATTACGAGAAATGTTGCTGTCATCCACATCCGAGATACAGGAGATAGAGCTATTGGATGAGTTGCTGTTACTATTGTAAATATTTGAAATTTCGGAACCAGTAGACGACATCGTTGATATATGACTCATGTACGGTTTTGTGCCGAGAAAATTGTCCATAATCTGAAGAGAAAATAACATTAATGCTAGTATTCATAGTCTAACTTTATATTTCAAGCTTTCTTAATTTCATCTTTAGATATTGTAAGGTTTTTTTCATTACAAAGCATATAAAGATGGATTTATGAAGGCCTTAAATATAAAGTTCTATTACGAATATAGACTCCTAGTCCCTTTTTTTCAGATTAGCTCCATTTTAAGAAATATCTTACTTTTGTGTACATTGTAAGAAATGTGGGCATATTTTCTCACTTTCATATTATTTATGAAGCTATCTATAATGAGGAGCCAGGAACTTTAATAGCTTCTATTACTAGAGTTCCAACCAACAATTGGTCACGTTTTATGTCTGTAAGTTCAAAAGAAAGTAATAATATGTAATCACTCTTTTTCATCCATCCATATATTTACCTCATAATAACGCCATGTCCGTTTATTATTACCCGATTTATTATTGTGATCTTTGATTCCTTTATACGTACGCTTCATTGTATTGAATCTTGTACTGCACTGCCTGCCTGTCACTATATACCCTTTCGCTTTCATAGTTTCTGCTATTTTATCCCATACTTTTTTATGTGTAATTTTACCTACATACATGTCTTTCTCATGATGTCTAAATTCCTTTAATAGAAGCAGCTTCATGAGATCACCTGAAATCTAGATTGCAAAATAAAACATTAAAATGTATTCACGATAAAAAAACAAAAAAAACCCTATATTCTAAAATTTCCTTACTTTTACCTAATAATTCTTCACTGAAGTTTTCATCTATTTTCAGTGAAAGTGGCATGTCATCCATTTCACTATCTGTAAAAAAAATAATGCTGTATGTTAATTAAACAAAAGATCATACTATTGTATACTGTAAAAAAAGAAACTGTAAGAAAAGAAAAAAATAATACAAACCATTTATTTGATCTATATTAGGAGTACTATTTGAGGAACAACTAGGCAATGTGTGTTCAGATGTATCTAAAATAAAATAACTTATCAAAATAAAAATTGTTCATTTTTTATTAATTATTTGATATATATGCATCAATATATACATAATCACTTAATAATCAAGTCAATTTTTTGGGAACCTGGTTTTATATACATATTAAATAATTGATGTATAAATAGAACCGTAACCATTAACAATATTAATAATAATATTAATAATAATAATATTAATAAGATTCTCACCAAAACATGCAGCAGTGCTCGTGCATTTTTGACGTGCATCGTTTAACAAAGTTGTTGCAAAAGCCATATCTACAAGTAATTGTAATATTTCAGTGAAGCAGGAAGAGAAAAAAATGAATGCAAATATACGGTAAAAATTAGACACTTTAAAATTTAAAAGCAGTATTATGATTATGTTCCGTGCGGACGCTGTCATCCGCACGGACGGAGTACGGCGGGCGGCCGTGCGCCAGGCGCGTTCCGCTCGCGGGCGGATACCGTTCGCCGCTGTTTCGCGCCGTCGCCGCTATGCGGCAGCGAGCCGAGTCGGGGCCGTCGCTCGCGGTTAAATTTCGGTTCGGCGCCTATATAAGACGCTGCGGGCGACGGCTCTAAGCCTTTGATTGCCGGTGCGCATCACGGCCACTGCCTCAGCGAGGTATTCTTTGGTCTCCACGGCCTTGTTGAGTGTGCTGCACGTTGGGCTATTGCCTTTAGAGTGTCTAAGGACACGTTGGCATTGTAGTACGAGATAGGTTAGGTAACTCCACGGATCTCCACCTTCTTGATACGATCGGCGTTTACGAGAAAATTTCGCGCGTCCATTCCGGATTACCTCGAAGCCTCCACCGCAGTGGACGGCTTCCCTTCGCGATATCTCACGTCTTGTAGATATCGTGCATCAGTTCGACAGCACGCGTTAGGGTGCGTTCCGTATACCGGAGTGTTCGTCTGGACAAAATGTGACATCACACACTAAGATTGTCTCGTGAAACGGAACGATTCTCGGACGTTTTTGCGCTTGCGCATAAGTGACATGTTCCTTTATGCTTTGCTGTATGCTTACATTTTATATAATATAAGAAACATGGAATATATGCTTGTAACTGAGCCAAACGGAAATGTCATCACGAATGCATCAGGAAATATCATGGTTCAAAAAATACCTGGTAAGTGTTTTTACCTGTGCAAACATATTGTGATATAAATTGTAGGTTATGTAAAAATGTTGTTTATTCGCACACAAATTTTGAGGATGACTATAAATATTTAAAATTTCAATACTATTTTTTTATTGCAGAGAATACATTAATGTTCATTAACCCTTCCCAAGCTGCTACATTATTTCCAAACAGTGTAATTCAAGCTGATATGCAAGTTTCAGGATCTGACTGTTTTACAGATAGTGAAAAAGAAAACAATACCACAAGCAGAACTTCTTGGAATTGAAATGAAATCATAGAACAAATACGCTTATATAAGTCCTATAAACATTTATTTAAAAGTACAACAATGAAAAATGATAAAGTATGGGGCATGATAGCTCAAAAGTTACCGATGCACACAACTGAGCAAGTAAAAAACAAATTTAAATACCTGAAACAGAAATATATGGAAAAGAAAGATAACATGGGTGAAAAAAGCAGTGGAGCAGGTACGATTAAATTCGATTACTTCTTTGAAATGGACGAAATATTTAGTCAGAATCCTGATGTGCAGCCAGTGTCAACTGCATCTTCTTTACAAGAGATTCAACGCGCTTGTAAGACATCATCGGTTGAAATTGAAGAAAATTCATACAGTGACGATGAAGAGATTACAAAAAAGAAAAATGAAAAGTCAATGATAAGAAGAAGAAGTGAATTAGCAAAACAACTAAGTACATACGAAAAAAATTTTAAAGAAAGAGGCTAAAAAAGAGAAACGTCATAATGAGTTAATAGCTCGACAAGATGCAGCTCTAAAAATTTTAGAAAATATTGCAAATTCATTTGCAAACATATCAAATATTAAAAATTAATCATTTCGATAATGTTAATAATATATTTTATTTTGCTTCCTTATTTTTAAAGATTTGCTAATGACAGTTTGTTTTAATCGATTATAGTTAATAACATTTTGTTTTAAACGATTATGGATAATCGAACTTAAAAGTTTTAAAGTACTATTCTTCCATATAAAGTACTTTTTTTCCGTTATAAATTTATGTTTTCAACATGAGATTCCTAATCAGCTTATAGTTCTATTACTTCATAAGGATCATAAATTCATGTTATTTTGTATTGCAAGGTAGATCACTAAGGTATTGTAATGGAGATTGACCAAAGAAATGTAATACTTTCATTATTTTATTTTTAAAAATGTGATACTACTTTTAGACTGAAATTCATGTGATATTACTTTTATTATCTACAATTATTGCGAAATAAATAAATAAATATATTTAACGTTAAAAATATAGTTAACGTTCAAGTAGTTTGTAAGTACAATTATTTGAGTTAAGATATTTTGTGTTCAAGTAGTTTTTAAGAAAAATGATATTATCTATTATATATTGTGTAGTTTTCCAATGTGATTTTTTACGATAAATTTTCAAATGAAACTATATTTGTGAAAAAGATCGAAGATCACAGAATAGAAAAGTACAGTGAGCAGAATGTCTAAAATCGTCGCATAAGAGAACTTTAAGATATCTTCAAGAGTTCTTAAAGAAATATTTTTAAGATATTTCAAAAAGAACTCTCTGAAAGATATCTCATGCGTCAATTTTAGATATCGTGCTGTGCTGAGTAATAAACTGTAAATGGGAAAACACATTGTTAGATTGGATATAAAATAAAGCCAATGATTTATGAAATTTGTGACTTTTATTGAAACGGATACAAATATTCTGCGATTTTGTCCCGTAATGTGTAACCTTCTCTTTCCAGTTCTGGTGCGTTCGTATTGTTACAATTAGCTGCTTTATGATTAACATTGCCAGCATTATTCACTACTGCCTGAAGCCCTTCATCTATAAACATGTCTCGTATTTCTTCATTTTCTTGGTTATTTAAGCATATATTATGTAAAACGCATGCAGCAATTATTATTGGTGCTATGAAGTCTGTTCATATCAAGATATTTCAGTCGCCTGAATCTTCCAAATAAAAGGGCAAAACAACGTTCAACTACTTGGCGAGACTTGGCGTGGCAAGTATTGGGTGTACAACTTAGTTTGGTCCGTTTTCAAAAGATGGCTCTAGGTGCTATAAATGGTTGACGGCGACAGCTGATTTTTGCTGTATCGTGAAGTGTCAACATCTGTCAACCAAATATTGTTTACAAGCCTTTGAGTTTTGCACAAGTTTAATTTTTACTGCGTTGAAAATGTCGAGTTTCGTTCCAAATAAGCACCATTTGCGGGAAGTTTTGATTTTCTGTTTCAATTGGAAGAAAAGTGCAGCTGAAGCGCATCGAATGCTTGTGGAAGTTTATGGTGAATCTGCACCGTCGGATAAATCTTGCAGAGAATGGTTTCGACGATTTCAAAGTGGTGATTTTAGTGTTGAAGACAAAGAGCGTTCGGGTCAACCGAAAAAGTTTGAAGATGAAGAATTAGAAACATTACTCGATCAAGATTCGTGTCAAACGCAAAAAGAGCTCGCAAGAACATTGGAAGTTACTCAACAAGCTATTTCGAAACGACTCAAAGCCGCGGGATACATCCAAAAGCAAGGAAATTGGGTCCCATACGAATTGAAACCGAGAGATATCGAACGACGATTTTGCATGTCCGAAATGTTGCTTGAACGGTACAAAAAGAAGTCTTTTCTGCATCGAATCATTACCGGGGACGAAAAATGGATTCACTACGACAACCCGAAACGCAAAAAATCGTATGTAAAGCCCGGCCAACCGGGAACATCAACGCCGAAGCCGAATATCCATGATGCCAAGGTAATGCTCTGTATTTGGTGGGATCAGAAGGGTGTGATCCACTATGAGCTGCTAAAACTTGGTCAAACCATCAGGGGAGACTTCTACAGGCGACAATTGATCCGTTTAAAGCGAGCTATAGCCGAAAAACGTCAATATGCGACCAGACACGAGTCCATAATCTTTCACCATGACAACGCTCGGCCTCATGTTGCTTTTCCGGTTAAAAACTATTTGGAAAATAGCGGATGGGAAGTTCTGGCTCACCCGCCTTATAGCCCAGACCTTGCCCCTTCCGACTACCATTTGTTTCGATCGATGCAGAACGCTTTGACTGGGATACACTTCACTTCAGAACAGGGTATCAAAAATTGACTCGATTCATTCTTGGCTTCAAAAGATGAACGCTTCTTCCGCGACGGAATCCATAAATTGCCAGAAAGATGGGAAAAAGTAGTGTTTAGCGATGGACAATACTTTCAATGTATTAATTCATTTTATCATTCAAATAAATGCGTTTTTCAAGCAAAAAAAACGGACCGAATTAAGTTGTACACCCAATATTAAAATGTTTTTGTCTTTCTGTAACATTTCTTCTCTCAATATAGGGAGGTATGCACCATTGCAAAACGGGATATGCTTTATCCCCGATAATAAATTGGTTTTCATTAAAATAATTATTTGGATGATTTGTGAAATCTTCGTATATTGGCGAATTTCGAAAAATTCTTATGTCTGATACTCTGCTAGGATAACCTGCAAAACAATCTAGAATTGACATTTTATTATCGCATATTACTTGCAGAGTTATAGCATGAAAACATTTTCTGTTAATGTAGACATCCGAACTTGAACTTGGAGTCTTGATAGGAATATATGTTCCATCGATAGCACCAACTATGCCTTTTATCCCAGCAAGTTTGAAAAGATAATGCTAT